TTGGACGGCGATGGCGTGGCTTGCGCGTGGCCAAGAGAGAGAGGGAGGGAAATAGAGAGAGAGAGGGACGGCGGGAGGGGGTGATGGTGGCGTACGGCAGCGTGGACGGTGGCTTGAGGGTGGTCCGGTGTGGTGGCGGCGAGCGGCGGCGCCGGCGGTGGAGAAAATGGCCAAGGAAGAACTCACGGTGGAGGAGGGGAAACTCATGGCCAAAAAAGAAAAAGGAGGGGGGAAGTCCACGAAGGAGAGGGAGAGAGAGAGGAGAGGGTCTTATCTAGAAACTTTGACCCAAAAAAAATATCTAAAGCAAAAATGACTAAAATACCCCTTCTTCCATAAGCATGCTCTTTGTTAATCTTTAAGGGCAAAACAGTCAACTTCTTCGTTTCTTGTCCAAATTGAATTTTTCCGAAGAATTTGAGCACACCAAAATTTCACACGTGTCACGTACAACGTCGTCCTAACGTTCCGGCGTGACTTCCTAATTTTCCAGTGTCCAATTTGGATAAAAATTCCATAATTAAATTCTATTAAACGCAACTCGAGCGTTTCTCAAGCTAACGGGCGGCTTGCTGGGGAAACTCGCAGAATCGACTAATCACTGATACTGAATCGAGTCACGTGCAAGTCCGTTCGATGCGTGACGATCTCGGTTGTCATAAAAATCGCGAAGATTAATCACTTGATCCGAGGGGTACGATTGTTCGGTATAATTTCGGAATCATTCGTCAAGTCGTTTCGTGGTCCAACGGAATCACCCGCGATCCACTACTAGGACAGTGGCGAACTGACCCCTAACTATCCTTGGATCGGCCAACAGTGGCTCAAAATATCACTTACGCGATTTAATGGTCGAAGTCCATTCACGGTCAAATTTTCTTTAGTCGCGCGAATTTAATTCCCCTATTAGCCTTTCCCTAATGGTTAGCATTCCCAGGAATGATCAGTTCCGGGCGAGAATTTACTGCGAGCACATTTCATAAAACTCAATTATTCAATAAATTCCAATTGGTGGAAATTTCGGAATGTCACACAAGGCCCCTATTCCAGCGTCCCTGAACAACTAGAGCCGAGACCTCATTTCGCACTATTACAAATACAAACATCATGGAAGGTAAAGCACTCGTGTAAACAAAACGGAAATCATATAGGGAAAGGAAAACCTAAAAGCTGAGCTTGTAGAAGACAATGGTGATCGAGATTCAGCATATCTCCAATGAGAGAGAAGGAGAAGGAGGGAAGGAGTAGTAAGTAGTTGAATTATACTCGTTTCCACTCCAATGGCTCTGCTGCTAGGTTCCTGCCAAAGCATTTGGTTTTCGATCATTGTAACCACTTCTGACATCTTGGGTCCGACAGATGGATCGCCATCCGCGCACAACAATGCCAGTCGGACTGGCTGCTCTGCTTCTTCTTCCACATAGTTGCCCTGCAAATTGGGATTGATCACCCTTCGCAACTCGTTCTTGTTCATAAAATCACCAATCCATTCCTCCAAACTGAGAATTTCATTATACGCCAACTCATGAAGTTCTAAAATTGGCTGTCCTGAGATGAGCTCAAGAAGCATTCTCCCGTATGAGAAGACATCATTCTTCAGTGTGCACTTCTCTGTGCTGAAGTACTCAGGGGCAGTAAAAAAAAAACTGCCGCATCGGGGGGTGTTGACAGAAACGTCTTCATAGCGATGATAGGTTTGAGAATCGGAGCGAGAATCAGCTGAATTTTCTTCTACCGGTGATGAGATTGAGACTCCCGTGCCCTGCCTTGGCATGCGTGTGGGTCACTCAATAGTCCCTTCCTCTACATTTCTCTCATTCGTGATCACGGCAGACAAAAATCCTCCTACCACGGCCTCAAAATGCAGATTCAGCAGGATATTTGATGCGCAGATGCTGCCATGGATGATCTTGATCTTACCTTGATTGTGAAGGTGTGCAAGCCCCCTCGCTGCTCCCAAGGCTATTCGTTTGCAAGTAGTCCAATCGAGAGGTCGGGCAAACCGATCCGGTCTCTCTGTAAGATTGTTAGATAGGCTATTGTTGATCATCAAGGGATACACTAGTAATAGCTCTTTCTTGGTCCTGCAAAAGCCCCTCAAGCATAGCACATTTGGGTGCGTCGAAACCGTGCTTCCCACTTGTATTTCTGCTTTGAGCATTTTTTCCTTCCCTTGATCAACACGGCACTCTCTCTTTACTGTCACTAGTGAACCATCGGCCAAGCACCCCTTGTAAACGTTGACGTGCCAATCAAACTTCACGAAGTTGTCGCGGCTAAAGTTGTCTGTCGCGACTCGGTGCTCCTTTAGAGAGAATCTTTTAGGAGGTGTTGGATCACCACCTTCAATGGACTCGGTAAAACTGAAGGTTCGGAGATTTAACACCATCTTTAAGCGGGGAAAACGTAGATCCTTCTCAAGTACGAATGGATAGTATACGTTTGATGGTTTTTCTCGATTGGTAGTGATTGGTTTGGGAATAACTTCTTCATATCCAAAGAGCCTTGCTTGTACACAGAGCTTTTGGTCGGTGTGCAGGAATGAAATGGTGAGGAAATGTCGTTGGATTGTAGGCCGATGTCAAAGTGTGGGGCCATCTCACTCCAAAGCCTTCCAGTAAGCAGCTTCTCGGAAACTGGAAAGAGAGAGCGGGAGAGGTTTCATTGCCACGAGCTCCAAAATTTGGCAAAACGTGCAACTCATATAAAGCAAATTTTGCATAATTCTCCTAGTATTCATGGATTCCTACGCGTTGGAAAAACCAAATGTGAAGAGCACTAGGCCTTTTTCCTTTGCTACATGGGCTGTACATCACATTGAAAGGCTATTAACTTTTGCATATAGTTGAACATCCATACTTCTAATTACTCGTATTTGGAACATGTCCATTGTATGTCGATTGATCATATTGCAATTTCAATGGAAAATTTTCTATATCAGTGGAAATACTAGTGTTAATTTTAGATCATTATTCTTTTCTCTATGTTCCATTCGAAATAGATAATCCTTGGAAACAAGAAACAAATGCATTAACAATAGCTAGAAATATTTACTATGATATCGTACAAATACAAAACATATAGTCAGTTGATATTGCAAATAAATAAAAATCGGGATTTATTTCCGTTAGATCTTCCTAGTGTTAGGGTTGACCAAATATTGGAAGAGACAGAAGTACTTGATATGAGTTCATCTTCCTCGTAAACTCCCTGCACAACTATTCTTGGCATATTGTGATTGTCATTATTGATTTTGTCAAATCTCGTGACTTAAAAACTAATAATGTTCTTATACATCCTTTAAAATATGTTTTGTGAAGGAACTTAGAAAGTTCGTATCACTAATTTATACATGTACTATGCATGGGATCCACGCGGATTCCATTCATTGTTCTTCAAATAAAGTATAAAATATTCAGAGGGTACCCAAAGATTAGTTTTGTAAGAAAGTTTGTAAAATAGCTATCATCGCTTTATCGAAGGGAAATTTGTTAAAAAATTTCTTTGTACACAATATTTTTGGTATGTGCATCATCCCCCTCATCTTCATTTAACGAAGGAATCTCATGTCCATCTCTCGTTGTTGCTGTGGAAATTGCAACATAATTTAAGATTACGTTTGTCTCGCGAAAAATGAATAATTTGAAAGACATTTTCTAAAAATGATTGCTCATATTACTCAAAATACTACTCAATGAAAAATGTTTTATTAAATCACGTCATCACTTAAGTTTTTAGAACAGTTAATAATTATCTCATAAAATCAGAAATCTCATATGGAATCTCGTATGGACTTTTATGGTGTTTTCCATATGTGTTGCAATCGCCACGCTTGTTGTTGCCTCTGCTATTATTCCCTCGAAAGTTAACCAGCCTGGGATTCTTCTACCGTTGGGTACTTCGTGCACGGCTCTCAAGGTCTGGTCTACTTTGACTGCTCTCTCCAGAATATCTTTGTGGCCTGTAGGTAGCTAGAAAGGGAGAGGAAAGGCTTGAGCAAATCTCTGGTTTGAGCCCTTGCTCCAAGGGATTGGCGGTCTTTTTCTTCTGCAAAAATGTTCTTCGAAAATATGCTCAGCTGATCACAACGTGCTCATATTAAATAACAACGGTCTCTCTTACTTTTAATTTATCTTGTCTACGGGCCTTTTATTATATATTGAATTGCAAGATCCATCAGATTTCGTGCCAATTCACAATAGATTGTATCTTGAGACAAGCATATGAATTAATAATCCTATATATATATGGTTGACTTGACAGGGTCCAAACACAAAAATTTCATACGTAAAGGGCCACGACAGGAGTCTTCTGCCAGTATTAAGGACAAATAACAAAAGGAAAGACCCGAGGAAAAGGATGAAGTCGAACGAGTCCATCACCGAGAAGAATTCCACGTCGAGTGATTCAAGAAGAAGCAGATGATGCACAGTTTCTTTGAAACTTGAATCCATAGACAATGGTGCGTCCTGTGAGGATACTGCAAAGTCTACCCCGTCCTTTCTTATCAGGAGAGAATAAAAAGAACTCATCTCGTAATTTACGTTGTTAACTCACGAAAGACAAATATGTCTCTACAGTGACAAAGGGACTACGAATTTCTTTTTCCACATAGTTCCCCTGGCACATTAGGATCGACCACTCTTTCCCACTTGTTCTCGTTCAGACATTCGCTAATCCAATCTTTCAACATGACATTGTAACACCCCGGGTCTACACGCGGTCGGGAGTCGGCTCTAATACCACCTGTAACATCCCGGATCTACATTGTGTAATATTGTCCGCTTTGGGTCCATCGACTCTTACGGCTTTAAAATGCGTTACACAGATATAGACCCCCAAGCCTTATAAGCTAGCTCAAAACTTCCCCCTAGGCAATGTGGGACAAGAGAGGTACCCCACTTCCCTGCGCATGTCTGGGGTAGTAGCGCGACGCACTGCCATCCCTCCTCCCCGCGCTATGCCACTTGGCTTGGGCCGTCACAGACATCTTCGTGGTTCTAAAGCCGATCCAGGTCGAAAAGTCGTTGTCCGGAGATTAGCTCGAGAAGCATGTTCCCATATGCAAAAACATCACTTTTGAGCGTGCACTTTCCAGTGCTTGAGTACTCAGGAGCAATGACAGCAACGGTACTGCGGACGGCGGTGTTAACGTAGAAATCTTTGCAGCGGTGATAGGTTACAACAGCTGGAACAGATTGAGAATTGGAATCGAAACCAGAATCAGAACCTGGTGCATTTTCTTGGGGTGAGAATGAGACTCCCACTTCACGCACTGAAGTTGACCACTCGATGGTCCCTTCCTTGACATCTCTCTGATGTATGATCTTGGCCAAGCCGAAATCCGCCACCACGGCATTGAATTGAGCATTCAACAATATGTTCGATGCGCAGATGTCGCGGTGAATGATCTTAACCTTACAACGATGGTGCAGGTGAGCAACCCCTCTAGCCGCTCCCAATGCTATTTGCATCCGAGTCGGCCAATCAAGTGGATGAATCTCTCGCTCCGGGCTCTCTCTAAGGAGAAATGCTAGGCTGTTACTGACCATCAGGGGATAGACCAATAAAAGCTCTATCTTGGTCCTGCAAAAGCCCCTCAGGCGTAGCACATTCGGATGCATATAAATCAAGCTTGACACTTCCATCTCTGTTTTGAACTGCTTTTCAGTCCCCTGCGCGAGATTCCAGGCCCTTTTGACTGCCACTTGAGAACCATTGGCCAAGCATCCCCGGTAAACCGTGCTGAATACACCCATGCCTAGGATATTGTGGCGGCTGAAATTTTGCATCGCGTCTTGGAGCTCCCGCAGAGAAAAACTTTTAGGGAGTTCTGCGTCGTCCTCAATGGGATTGGAGAAGCTGAAGGTTCGGAACTTGAACACCATTTTGCAATAACACGATACTTGTCCAAGATCAATGGATCGCATGAGCTTGATGAAATTTCTTTTAGTGCTGATTGATTTCGGATTAGCTTTTCTGCATCTCAAGAGCTTTGGTTCGGCATGCCCAAGTATCAAAGCAAACACTAATCTGGATGTCTGTGACATCAAGTTGTCATCTGGCGAGCAGATCTTAATCTAGCTTGGTCATGGGGCTTGAACCGTGTGACCACACTTTAAGGAACCGTTGAATCTAAATCGATCTAGGCGGGATCTGACAAACGGGCAATTAGAAAAACAATAAAAAAGCTTGTTCTCTTGTTCGGGACAAAGTGACCAAACTTCCACTAGACATGTTTTTCAAACTGGATGGAGATGGATTTGAGCGAGAGAGAACCCAACTAGCTCCTGACTCCTGAGAGCCAAAAGTTATTGGAAGAGAACTTCGATCTAAATGACGAAGGAAAGTAAAGTGCTTGGAATTGAAGTGCAATGACCGGAACTTAGAAGAAATATAAAAGAAACACTGCTTGAAACAAATAAAAAAAAACGATAATGCCAAAACTAAGGAAATTAATGGACAAGTAACGTCGAAAGAAAAAAAAATTCAAATGTGAACACTAGAAAAAAACTTCACTGGAATCAAAATAACTAAAAACTTACAAACACCAGGACGCCCATTGGAAACGTTTAAATGAACACAATACTTATAATCACAGCGTACACTACGAACAACAAACTTAACTGTAAATTAAAACTAAGCAGGTTATTAAAGCCTCTCACAAGTGCACGATCTGTTTGCACGACGTGACATTCGGTAGAGTCTTCTCATTCTCCAACTCGCTGACAGTCAGTGAGAGCTTGAGAGAGGTGTAGATGGGAAGAATCGAACTATGCACCTCTTGATTGTTCGAATGAGGTTAAGGCTAATAATGTCATTGCCCTTGTCGTTGCCTCCTGTGAATAGGAGATAGTAAACTAAATTAAGACAAAATGGAGATTCCGCGGGTTGAAACATTGCCCAGAAGTAGCTAAAATGGCCCATGTAGGTGTGAATTGTGGAAAGTGTATGCCCGAATTTCACAAGTCTCAACTTGAGCCTACAAGAAGTTGATGTGCAATGTTGTTTTGTAATTGATGACTCCCATCACCGAGCAACTTCTTGAAAGCATCATATGAGTTGACCTCGCAGAGAAGAAACTCAAAACCAACTAGTCCAACCATATCCTCCTCTGTTAGAAGAAAATTTGAAATACTATTGTATTCACTTATATATTAAAAAAAGATTACAAGACGCACATATATATAGGATTAACACACGACTCTACGTTTACTCTAGTCATAAGAACAGACACGTCTAGATTCATAACATTAAAGGCTATCTTAAAAGACATAACCTCCTAGGTAACAACTTCCTAGATTCCAAGTATCAAGATGAACTTGGGTTATGAAGAGTCTCCTTGAGATTTGAAAAATCCTTTGCGATTTCCAACAGCCTCCCTTAAGCCGAGTTCATCTTGACCATGCCGATCATTCTCTTAAGTTTAAGGAAGGAATCTATCTTCAACGGCTTAGTAAACATGTCAGCTACTTGGTCTACTGACTTGCAATACTGCAACACAATTTCCTCGGACTTCACCAGATCTCGAATGAAGTGGTATTTTATATCAATGTGCTTACTTCTTCCATGGAAGACTGGATTCTTTGCAAGGGCAATTGCTGACTTGTTATCACAATAAATCACCGTCGAATGCTCCTGCTTATGCCGTAACTCAGCGAGCATCGAACGCAGCCAAACTGCTTGAGTAGCACAATAAGCTGCTGCTATGTATTCCGCTTCAGCACTAGACAAAGCAACCACCCACTGCTTCTTTGAAGCCCAAGAAAAAATTCCATTTCCTAAAGAGAAAACATACCCGGAAGTACTCTTTCTTTCTTCAATATCACCTCCCCAATCACTGTCTGTATATCCCACAAGCTGAAAATTATCAGAAGCAGTGTAGAATACACCATCATTCACAGTACCTTTAATGTATCGCAGAATTCTTTTTGCTGCCTGAAAGTGTGATTGTCTAGGGTGCTCCATAAATCTGCTTACCATCCCAACACTAAAAACAAGATCTGGCCGAGTAGAAGTCAAATATCTCAGACTTCCAACTAGCCTCTTGAAATACGTGGGATCAATTTCGGAACCACTTCCGTCTTTTGTCAACTTCAACCTTTCTTCCATGGGAGTGCTGATTGGTTTACAAGTAGCCATCTTGAAACGCTCAAGAATATCCTTGGCATACTTTTGTTGACAAATAAAAATACCATCCTCCGATTGTGTAACTTCTAGGCCGAGAAAATAATACATCAGACCCATGTCTACCATCTCAAACTCATGAGTCATAGCCTCCCTGAAATCACAAATCATCTCTTGACAATCTCCAGTAAATATGAGATCATCGACATATAAGCAAGTAATGAGCATCTCACCGTTCAAGCCATTCTTAACATATAAAGTATGCTCATAAGGACATCGAGTAAAACCATGATTAAGAAAATCAGAGTCAATTCTGGTATACCACGCTCGCGGTGCTTGCTTAAGGCCGTAAAGAGCTTTCTTCAATTTGTAGACAAAGCCCTCTTGACCTTTCTTGACATAACCTTCAGGTTGATCCACATACACTTCCTCCTCAAGTACGCCATTGAGAAATGCGGACTTGACATCCATCTGGTGTATTTTCCAATGTTTCTGAGCAGCCAAGGCAAAGATCATACGAATGGTATCCAGTCTAGCAACCGGAGCAAATACCTCAAAATAGTCAATCCCGGGTTTTTGTTTGTAACCCTTGACTACGAGACGAGCCTTCAACCGATCAACATCACCATTAGGCTTGTACTTGGTCTTATAGACCCATTTCACACCGATGGACTTTTTGCCTTCCGGGAGAGATGTGAGCTCCCACGTATCATTTTTCTCAATCGCGTGGATCTCATCATTCATCGCGCGAACCCAACCATTATCTTGGGAAGCCTCCTGAAACTTTGTCGGATCACAATCTGCAAAGAGAGCAAAATTGATAATTTCTTCATCAGAGGGATCATCATCATTGGACAAAACACAATCCTTCAAACGAGCCGGTAAAACTCGTTCTCGCCGTGGACGTGAAGAACTTTCAGCAAGATTTTCGATAGGATTTTCAACAGAATTTGATGAAGTAACTGCTGTCGAAGTCTCTACTATCGAATCTGCTATCGAACCTGGTTCCACCGAAGCCGCTACTGGTTCAGATTGACTATTTGAATCGGGCTGAACCGTCTCCTCCTCATCTAGGACAAAGCGAAACTGCTTCTTTTCTTCCATGTTCCAAGTCCACTCACCTTCCTCGTTGAAGGTAACATCTCGACTGATTACCACCTTTTTCGTTACCGGATTATACAACCGATAACCCTTGGTTTCATTGCTGTAACCGAGGAAGATGCACTTCTTGCTCTTCTCATCAAGCTTCTTACGAAGCTCATTTGGCACATGGGCATAAGCAATACACCTAAACACACGAAGATGCTGAACTGAAGGGATTCGACCACTCCACACCTCCGTCGGTGTCTTGAACTCAAGACCTTTAGTGGGACATCTGTTCAACAAGTAAACAGTACAAGCAACCGCCTCCGCCCAAAAATGCTTCGGCAAATGTTTAGAACAAAGCATAGTACGTACCATTTCGACGATAGTGCGGTTTTTTCTCTTCGCTACTCCGTTCTGTTGAGGAGTATATCGTGCTGTCAATTGATGCTTGATGCCGCATTGCTTGAAGAAGCCGTCACCAACCAAATATTCTGTGCCACGATCAGTTCGGAGAATCTGAATTTTGTGCCCACTTTGGTTTTCGACATAGGCTTTGAACTCCTTGAAAGTATCGATGGTGTCGGATTTCTGCTTTAAGAAATAAACCCATGTTTTTCTGCTAAAGTCGTCGATAAAGGTAACAAAATACCTGTACCCGCGATTCGACGATTCACCAAGCGGTCCGCAGAGATCGGAGTGAACTAACTCCAATGGCTTCGACGCTCTCCATGATTTTCCTGAAAGAAAGCTTTCTCTGGACTTCTTCCCAATGACGCATGGTTCACATATCTCCTTTGGAGAAGAAATTTCGGGCAGACCTCGCACCATCTTCTTTTGACACAACAGCTTCAAGCTGTCGAAATTCACATGTCCGAACCGCTTGTGCCAAAGCCATGAAGAATCTTGCACTGAGGCACTAAAACATGACGTAGCATAATTAATATACAAAGGAAAAAGGCGATTTCGGGCCATTTTTACCTTTGCAATTAATCCTCCTTTGCCATCATGAATCGTGCAAACCTCATCCTTGATGATCATGTGATAGCCTCGCTCGGACAACTGTCCCATGCTCAAGAGATTCTCTCGAAGACCGGGAACATAATGAACGTCGGAAATGTTTTGAACCGACCCATCTTTTGTTTTGATTTTAATGCTCCCCTTTCCCGTGATAGGAAATTTTGCATTATTCCCGAACCTCACCTCCGAACGAAAGGTGTCATCGAAATTCGAGAATAACTCCTTCTTGCCATACATGTGATTACTGCATCCGGTGTCTAAGTACCAAACATTCTTCTGGTTCTCCACTGAAGCATTACACGTGAATAAAAGAGCATTACCATGCTCATCATTGCTTTCAACAAATCTATCGACAGAACTTGCTACTTTAGCATGAAACTTTTGACCACCAATCCTTTTGCTTCGACACTCAGATTTATAATGCCCATACTTTTTACAATTAAAACACTGAATATGGGACTTATCTGTTTGTTGTAGAGGTTGCTTCTCCTACCGCCTTTTATCTTTCTTTTGAGTAGAAAGATTTTTCTTTTCATCGGGTAACACCCACTGGCTTTGTAGAGCCTCCTCCACCGTCTTGGACTTCTCCTTGAGTCGTTGCTCGTGCATTTGTAGAGAGCCAATCAACTCATCCACGGTCAAAACTGAGAGATCACGG